GGGCGGTGAGCGCGCGCCCCGGGCCGCCGACAGGCGCCGTCCGGAGACAGTCCCTGGCCCCAGCTGGGCGCGGGGGTGGGGGGCTTCCCACTTGGCCCCGCGGGGAGAGAGCCAGGTCTTGGGAGACTTGGGGCTGGGGTGGCGGGAGTGGGCTCTGATGGCCTGGACGAGAGTGGGGAGGGGCTGGGAGGGGCCCTTTTCTTCGTGGGCACGGAGACACCCTTGGGCCACCCCCCACCCACCCCCAGTCGTCTTTGTCTTCGGAGAGGAGCCCCGACTTCCCAGGGGCTTGGCTTTGAACCACTCCTCTCCAGGCTCCGATGCTCCCATCCCCGCCACCCCACCTCTGGCTCCCATTTCTACCCACAGCTGTCCTGAAGCCCCAGGAGTCCCTGGCGCAGCCTCTAACCACCCCTGGCATCTTGGAATCCGAAGGTGGGTGCTCTGTTGCTGTGGGAGGGTGACCAAGGCCAAGGAGCATGGGCAGGCTCTCTAACCACAAGGCAGATCCCAGCCCCAACTAAACTCTTCTGTTCCCCTTGTGGTCGGTCTCTCTGTCTCTCTCTCTGTCTCTCTGTCTCTCTCTCTCATACACACACACACACACACACACACACACACAAATGGTGAGAAGCCTCTGTGAGTGGGAAGTGCTACACACAGGGAGGCTTTAAATCATCTGCTGTGACACCGGACATCACCTGGGCCAGAGACAGTTGCCCAGCGCTGTGCTGAGCAGAGTAGGGGGTGGGGAAGGCGAGGGCAGGGATGTATGTGGTCCATGCCCGGCATCTGTGCCCACAGGGAAGAGGGTACAGAAGTATGAGACCAACATCCAATTTTGCTGGCTGGAATATAAGTCGTATATGGACCCCCTTGAAAAGGACTGGTGTGACTGGGCCATGATTAGCAGGTAGGGACCCTGCTGGTGGGGGTCTGGGGTGGGGGTGGGGGTCTCTTCCACATGGGCCTGGAGGGAGCGTGGGGCACCCCTCTCTCTGGGCCCAGGCCTTCTCTCACTAGCATTCTTTCCACCCCAGGCCTTACAGCTTACTTCAAGAATGTTTAGAACACCATGCTGATGAGTTTGGCCTGGGTTTCCCCAACCCCTGGGCAGAGAGGGTCATCTTTAAGACTCACCAGATGCACTTTGCCAACTGCTCCTTGCTTCAGTCCACCTTCTTCGACCCTCCGGAGGACGTGCTCCTGGCCATGATCATAGCCCCCATCTGCCTCATCCCCTTCCTGGTGACCCTGGTGGTGTGGCGGAGTAAAGATCGGGAGGCCCAGGCCTAGGTCCACCAGCTCCTCTCCCCTAGCCCAGCCCTTAGTGCCTCGCCCCGTTCCCCCCCGCCCCTCTCCTTCTTCACCCCAACAGCAGACCCTGGACTGGGTGGGAATAGGAGTCAGGTGGGGTGGGGGCACAAGCTCTGTCATGTAATCTTCAAAATAAATCTTTTTGTGTGTGTACACTGACTCCTTCCCATCCCTTCCCAGCCTGTGGGCTTCTTATGCAGTCCCGGCCACTCCACAGGCCCTCAGCTGTGGGCAGAGGTCCCCACTCCCACCCCCTTCTGCTCTTTTCACTTGAGAGAAAGAGAGAGAAGAAGAGGTGCACGCATGGATGTACACACACACGCACACACACTGTCCCCTCCCACCTGAAGGCCACATCCCTCTCCTCCTTCCTCCCAGGGTGAGGCCTTTCCTGCTCCTATCCAAACCCAGCTCCAGGAAACATACAGGAAGAGACTCCCTTCCGGTCTGGACAGCAGCTGGGGTCCTTTGATTGGGGAGGTGTGGGGGGAGGGTGAACGCTCTGGCTCTGACTGCAGTGACCAGCTGGCTACCCAGCTCCGATTTCTCCCCCTTCTTTTTGCCTCAGTTTACTTGACGGTCTGTGAGTAGAAACCTTCACCTGACACACAGGAGTCCATCCCTAAAGACTTTCGGACTGGGTGGAGGCCTTCCCTTGGTTCATCACAGACTCCTCCAGATCCATGGCCCCCATCTACAATTGTCCTGGACCAGGGTTGTGGCCTCCAACCTGGCCACACAGTGCCCTCTGGTGTCCGCTGACGCCAACAACCAGAAAAGAGCTGTCCTCTGGACAGAGCTCACTGGACTTTGGGGTCAGAGGCCTGTCATTGCTCTAGTCACCCCTTCCTTACCCCCACATCCCTTTCTCTCAGCTTCCTGAGACACAGCTGTGCTCTGTAAACGTAGACATCCTTACCTCCCTCTGCAGCTCGGCATTTCTGCATAGTGATACTCCTAGGGAGTCCAAGGAGCTCTGATGGCTTACAGGGTAAGTGATCAGCTGCTAACTTGAAAGGTCTGTGGTTTGAATTCACTAGCTGCGCCACAGAGACACGACTGAGCCGCCTGCGCCCGTATGGGCCGGTCTACTGTGTCCTGCAAGGTCACGGGGGTTGGAATCGACTCCGTGGCACACAAAGAACAACAGCGTGTGGGATTTCTGGGTGGTGCAAAGAAAAGACTCAGCAGCTCACGGAGAAGGTTGGCGGTTTGAGACCACCTAGGAGCATGTGGGAAGAAAAGCCTGGCAGTCCACTTCTCAAAACACAAGAAACCGTACAACTCCACCCTGACACACGGGTCCAGCCAGTGGTACCTGGTCCCTTGTTCCCTGCATACTTACGCCCCCGTTTTCACCAGAGAACCCCTCCCTCCCTCCAGTGCACCCTGAGACATACCTGCCAGGGGACTGACACTATCTAGAAGGGCACTTTGTTCCACAGAGTGGAAGTTAACCTTAAGTTTCTGCTCTCTGAGTACACACATGCCTATTTCCTAGGAAATGCCTGTCTGCGCCATATGCATATGCTTGTATGCTTTAGGGAACATTTCTTATTATTTCTCTGAGACACACTCCTCTCAGGATGTGTCTCTCTTTCTAGAGATGCACTGTGAGTTTTCTCCTGTGGTCAGCCTGTGCTCTAGCTCCATGAGCATATCTATCTTCCCCAAGCCTGTGGATCTGCCCGTGTCCTGGCACACGCTGGCCTTTACTAATCCACATCAAGGGGACAGCACACTACGTGGTAAATGTTGTGGGAAAGATAAAATAGAGAAGGCCTGTGTGTTAGTCCGGGATGACTAGAGAAACAAAATCAGACACTCATATGTGTATAAGAAAGAGCTTTTAGTGTCTGTTGAGAAAACACCCCAGTCCTGTCCAGATCAAGTCCATAAGTCCGGTATTAGCCCATATGTCCGAAACCAGTCTATAAATTCTTCCTCAGACTCACACAACACATGCCATGACACCGAATGCAAGATCGCAGGTCAGTAGGTGGAAAGTCTTGTGGATCCATTGGCAGTGGAAGCATCTCAGTCCTGCTGACAAGACACATCGAGCTATGCTGATGGAGCTAGAGCAGCCACGTGGAGACTCCTGCCAATGCTGAGATGCTTTGCTGGCAGGGGTCTCCATGTGGCTGCTCTAACTCCATCAGTGTAGCTCCATGTGTCTTGTCAGCAGGAGGATGAAGCAGAAGAGTGTAGGTCTGGCCTCCACTGAGCCATTTATCTCTGTAGCGCCTCCACCTGAGGTCATCAAGCTGTGACCTGATTAACAGGCTAAACTCCACCCTTTCATTTTTAATAGTCTCAAATTGACACCAGATTATGTAACTACACCAGCCTGGTTTCTGCCCTCAATAGCATTCATCTAAGAGAGGAGCTGTCATGTACACAGATAAACAACAATGCTGTGGGTGATGGCTATAAATGAAGGAGGGGTCATATATTCCTGGAATGGTTAGAGGAAGTATGATCACAGGAGGTGAGTGTGGGATCATGACCTTAGACAGAACTTGACCTTAGACGGAATATGCTAGTCTAAGACAGTAGAAACGGTATTGAATTAAGATATTACAGCAATAAGCCGGGCTTGAGCAAATGGAGACACGAAAGAGTGGTGAGTGGGTGGGTAAGAATAAAAATGAAAAAAAAAAAAGAATCAAAAGGAAGAGAGGCGATTGAACAGTAGGGGACAGTTGGAGGGTGAAGGAGCAGGGTGGCAGTGGGGGTTAAGGCTGGCCAGACTTTGAGCCTGAGTTACCGGGAGAAGGATGGCAGAAATAATAGAGAAAAGAGTACTAGACACCCATATGGCCCTAAGATTTGAGACTAGGATGGTGGTGGGATGGTGGGAGAAGGAGAAGACATACGAGGGTGACCCGAAGAGGGTGAGGCCAACGCAGTTAACAATGGAACATTCAAGTCCTCTCACTCCTGGACAGTTAGAAAGGGGGAGTGGTGAGGACAGAGCTGGAAATACAGGTTTGGAAAAGGGCTGAGGTTAGGAAACACATTGATGAGGTGATGGAAAAAGCTGGGAAGATCAGAGAAGGAGCAGGAAAGGGGTCAAGCAATGCCACGGAGGTAGAGGAAATGGTACCATCTGAGAAAGCATTCTCAATGGAATGGTTCCCTCATTCATTTTCTCAACAAATCCTGGTCCGGGCACTCTACAGGCGAGGGACTGGGAACAATGAGGGCAGAGTTGGATGGTGGAAAAACTGAGATCAGGAGGATGGGGCGTAGGTGGCAGGGTCAAGGAAACTAGACTTGTTTTTAAACAGGGAAGATCTTGGAGGAATGGAGCCGGAGGATAGAGAGAGGCAGGACGATAAGGGAGAAGTCCTGGAGGAAGGTGGAAATAAGAAGCTCAAGAAGAGATGCCATTCCCCTCACAGAAGGGTCTCAGGGAGGAGACAAGCCAGTCAGGGTGCAGTGCAGCACCAATGAGACATACAACTTTCCTCTAGTTCTTAAATGCTTCCTTCCCCCAGCCCCCCCACTATCACGATCCCAATTCTACCTTACTAGACCAGAGGATGTATGCTGGTACAGATAGGAACTGGAAACACAGGGAATCCAGGACAGATGAACCCTTCAGGACCAGTGCTGAGAGTAGCGATACTGGGAGGGTGGAGGGAAGGTGGGGTAGAAAGGGGGAACCTATTACAAGGATCTACATATAACCTCCTCCCTGGGGGGTGGACAACAGCAAAGTGGGTGAAGGGAGACGTTGGACAGTGTAAGATATGACAAAATAATAATAATTTATAAATTATCAAGGGTTCATGAGGGATGGGGAGTGGGGAGAGAGGGGAAAAATGAGGAGCTCAAGTAGAAAGCAAGTGTTTTGAGAATGAAGATGGCAACAAATGTACAAATGTGTTTGACACAATGGATGTATGTATGGATTGTGGTAAGAGTTGTAAAAGCCCCCAATAAAATGATTAATATATATATGGCTCAAAATGGTATAAACCTAAATAAGCATGCCTTATATTTATATATTAACTCAGTGTTTTCCAAAGCAGTATCATATATCATAAAATTCAATATAACTCAAAAAAAGATCTGCCAAAAAATGGAATAACCCAAACAGTAATCACGAGAATGCTCGCACATTGTGAAGAATGTAAAGAGTGCTACTGAAGAACTTGCATGGATAGGTACTGTTGAATGGGAACGTAAACTCCTATGAAGACTTTCCAAAAATTGTTTTAACTTCATTTTTTATTTTTTCAAAAAGGAGCGATGCCAAAGGGTTATTAGCTTTGAAAAGGAAGAGTGACACTCTTCCAATGATTCCCAAAGGAAAGAGGAGGAAAAGTGGAGAGGAATTTTTGAAGGATGAGTCGAGTATGGATAACAGGTGGAGGGAAAGTTTAAAGGGTTCGTATACATGACCTCAATCGTGTAAAAAATTGGAGAAAAAAGGACGAGAACAAGAGAAGGGGCTTGATGAGCTTGGGAACATCTGAGCGGCCCCCTAAGTGTGTGCCATGAAGTCCATAAAAGATGGGCTGCCCCGGCGTCAGGGAATCTGGGGATCAGCCAGTCGGTTCTGGTGACTTATCTTCCAGTAGTACTTTATAGTTTTGGGGTCTCTTTTTGGTTTTGTTTTATTAAAGAGGATCGAGGTAGGGAGGTAGCCACACCTTGGTTTGGGGACAGACCAGCACATAAAGAAGCCTGAGAGAATGGAGTGGACTAGGCTGGGTAAAGGAGCCTTGGCGGTGTAAGGGGTGACATGCCCATTAGCTGCTAACTGCAAGGCCGGCAGTTTGAACCCACCAGCCACTTTGCAGGGGGAAGATGAGGCTGTCTGCTCCTGTCAAGATTGACAGCCTCAGACTCCCACAGGGATATTTCTACCCCAGCCTATAGCGGGGTTATAAAGGGGAAATGTCGGTGGCTGGATAAAGAGTACTAGACACCCATACGGCACTAAGATTTGAGACTAGGATGGTAGGATGGTAGGATGGTGGGATGGTGGGAGAAGGAGAAGACATACGAGGGTGCTTCAGAAAAGTTTATGGGGAATTGCAATGAAGAGATCATGCAATTTTCCCCAGCAAAGGCTTTTTAAAAATTTTTTAAGTTCCTTGGTATAGCTGTGGTCCAAGAGGGCAGCTGGGAATGATGGAAGCAGGACTGTTTCTAACGATACAAGCTACAGGGCAGGTTCTCGTAGGTTCTGTAGGAGGAACGCTGGTGTCAAAGGACATAGGCATTGAGACCGTGGTGTTGTGAGACCTTTAAATTCAACGTTCAACGAACCTTAATCCTGGAGAAACTCCCCATCGTGGAAATTCGCCTGCACTGGAGTTTGGAGACCCGGGTTCTATCTGTAATGCAAAGCGTGACGCCTTAGGAGAGCCAGTGCCTTTCCGTGAGAGCCAGTGCCTTTCCCTGCAGCTGAGGCCGGCATTGTCAGGACGAACGGCAGGCAGGCTGAGCAGGAGGGGGAACCTTTGTGCTGCGCCCTCTGCCCGGACGAGTGAGCGGGGAGGCCGGAAGTGCCGGCCGGAAGTGCCGGCCTGCAGCTTCCGGGTGTCCTGGGCTCCCGCGATGGCGATGGGTTTCGAGTGGCCGTGGCAGTATCGTTTCCCGCCCTTCTTCACGTGAGGCTTAGACCCCGAGAAGCCCCGCTGTGCCCCCTTTCCCACCCTGGCCTTAGCCCTGCTGCTCCACGTGGGAAGGGGCACACAGGAGCCGGCTGCCACCGCCCGCGGTCCCCGCTTCCTTCCCCGATCGTGCCCGGGACGAGTGCTGCCTCTCGCTCTGGCGAGCCCTCTAATTCTGCGCCTCACCCTTCACCTGGCAGGTTACAGCCGAACGTGGACACCCGGCAGAAGCAGCTGGCCGCCTGGTGCTCCCTGGTCCTGTCCTTCTGCCGCCTGCACAAACAGTCCTGCATGACGGTGATGGAAGCGCAGGAGAGCCCGCTCTTCAACAACGTCAAGCTGCAGCGTATCCTCCCTCGGGCTTTCCCACAGCCCCCCACAGCTCAGACTTTCACACCGCCGCCCGCCCGCACGCAGGCAGACCCGCCCCCAAGTGAATTTAGCTGGAAGCAAGCATGTATAGCCACCGAACCCAGGAGTTCAGCACTACCGAGGGTAAGAGACTGACTCTGGTTTAGGGTCAGCCTCTTGTCCTAGGCGGTGAGAAGTGCCCAGTGTGTCTTGCAGGTCTTAGAGCCTCTGCCTCCGAAGCCTGGCCCCAGTCTTCTCAACCTGAGTTTTGTTTTTTTTGTTTGTTTTTGTTTTGTTACTTGCATGCCCCTTCTCGGAGGCTCATAATTCGTAATACCTTTAATAATGTTCTCATCCACGTTTCCCCCAGCCAGGAAGTAAGGGTCATTCATTTTTGCTGTCTGATTCATCCCTCAAATATTTGTGAAGGGCCAAAGGGAGGGGAAGGACAGAGGCTGAGGAATAGCAATTTTCATTTTCAGAGGACCTTTTCATTGGAAAGATTTCTTTATCCTACACACACACACCCAATAGCCACAACATGCCGTTTTGTATGCTGTTGGGGAATTACAGGTGTAGACATGTGTGTGTATGTGTGTGTGTGTGTGTGTGTGTGTAGGGGTGAGGAGAGCGGGCGGATGTTTCTCAGCATGGGACTAGTTCTGAAATTTTCTAAATCCCACCCAATTCATATCATTTTTAAAGAACGTATACCATTCCCTTAACCTTAAAACAGGGAAGCTCCCTGTGGAATCCATTCAGATTGTATTAGAGGAACTGAGGAAGAAAGGTGGGCTCCATTCACCCGATCCCTTATTGATCTTCCTGACTGTGTTCTGCTGAGGGCAGATTAGGACAAGTTTTCTGTTTTGTTTCGTTTCTCTCATTCCCTGGCCTGTAGCCCAGAGTTTTGTACAGTAAATGGTCTGAGTCCTCAGATCCCTTCCTCCCATTTGTATAATAAAATAAAAATTCCTCCCGTTCGTGTTCTGAGACCTGAAGGGAGGGAGGAGGAGCATGGCGTTTTGCAGACAGACAGACAGAGTAAAACAAAGAATAACTCGCTCTCTGAAAGCTGCCTCTTCTGCTCTGTCCCACCCTGGCATTCCCCTCTCTGTCCCTTCTTAGAGCATCATGCTTTCACGCGTATCTGTTTTACAGGGAACCTTGAGTGGTTGGATAAGAGCAAGTCTAGCTTCCTGATCATGTGGCGGAGGCCAGAAGAATGGGGGAAACTCATCTATCAGTGGGTGAGCCCATCCTGTCGCTGAGTGCTCAGCCGTGGCCCGTGGCATAGGAGCAGTGGACACCAGCGGGCTTCACAGAGTTCATGGGAACATTCTCTTACCTTTTCGTTTTATTGTTCCAAGAACTGGGTGAAGCCCCCCAGCAGGTCCGGTGTTGTCACCAGATTGAGGCTGAACAAAGTGGGGAGGAGGCAGAAAGAGAAAGGGTAGGCCTTCCAGGCAGCCCCCCCCCCTTTTTTTTCCCCACTGACTCAATTTCCCTGACTGCACAGAACTTCCCTTTCTCTGCCTGTAGGAGGCTGGGGGCGGGGGGTGTACTTGAGGCCATGTTTGGAGAATGCAGTACTGGGAACCAAGGGTGCTATTGTTGGCAGGAGGCTCTGGCCACAGGAGATAAATGAGGAAAGGAAGAAAAAAAAGAAAAAGCCTTGGGCCCCTCCCCCACTGCACCCTTCTGGGGCTGTCCACAACGTGAATGAGACATTCTCAACCAGTATGGGTGTGGGGGCCCAATGCTTTCTTTTCCCCAACTCCGAGCCGCCACAAACCCCCAACTTTCCTAAAGGAGGGAGGGAGGACAAGAAGTATCAACAACCCAAACATAACAAAAACACACCACCCTTCCCTGAACAGGAAGACAGCCAGAATCGAGGTCACTGCAGACACGTGAAGACCTGTGGTTTAGTGGCTCTGAGTGTGTGTGTACACATACAAATATAGCACCTGTGGGGCTTGTGGCTTTTGAGGACTCCTCTGCAGAAGCAAGAGTGAGCTGTGGTTTGGGGATAGGTACCATTCTTGGATCGAGAGGTGGAGTTGATGAGGTTACCGTGTCCCAAAAGATTCCCGGCCCCTATTCAGTCCCATTTTTCTGTGTCCACAGGTTTCAAAAAGTGGCCAAAACAACTCCGTGTTCACCCTGTATGAACTGACCAATGGGGAAGACACAGAGGACGAGGGTAATGCCTTTCCCTCCCCGGCCCCGCTCATTTTGTCACCTGAATCCTTTCTTCTGCTTTCATTGGCATTTCTTTCTTAGCTGCCGAATTCCAAGTGCTGCAGGCCCTCTCCTCATGTCCAGGGATTCCATAAAGGCTTGATTTCAAATTCCCTCCCCCACAAATGATTGTTGTTTGTGTGAGGGCCCATGCATTTTTCTAGGGATGGAGTCCCTACTATAAGATTGTCATGGCACGTGTGATGCGTGAAAAGTTAAGAGCTGCGGATACAGATGTCGAATGAGGAACTAGGGTGGAGGGATTAAGCCTGAAACCTCTTTGCTGGCAGACTCAGGCTTTCTTTCACCCTTGATTCCTCTAGAAGGCTCGTGATTTGTGGGCACCAGCCAAAGTGATTGGACCGACACTCCCGGCTCATTGAAGTACTTTGGTTTCTGCCCAGGCAAGGATTTGTATAGGGTTTGATTTTGGCATAGTGTAAATAGTCCTTAGCTCTCTAACTCCATATTCTCTTCCCCACATCATGAGAAGTTCTCATCTTAGTGAGGGTAATGGGGCACCTCCCCTGGGCTGCCCCAGCAGAGTTTACTATGTTGGCTGTTTCCCCATGCCCTGCAGGCCTCTGCTTGCTATTCCCACCATCACCCCCTGACTTCAGTGCTGCAGCCTTGCCCAGCCCACCACTCAGGCTGGGCAAAGGTGAAGCTCCCTCAAAAATTAAACTCCCTGATTCCACAGTGAGGGCCTGCAAGGGCTGAGGTGTGCCAGCCTGTTGGGGCTTGCCTCTTGCCTCTCACGCCTCCGTGGAGTGTCTTGCCATACCTCTAGGTACGCAGCTGGCCATTGGCACCTGGCTCTGTCTCCTTTTACTAGGAAAAGATAGTTATCTCTGCTGGACCTTACTAGTCTCCTGGCCAGGGGTGCTGACTGCTCTTCATTTTAGGACCAGTCATCTTGACGGGTATAGATGTGTGTTTAGGGTCCATATCCAGTGATAAGGGCCTTCACTTTCCCTCGGGCCGAATGTAAGGACCCCCCTCCCCCCCTTTGCTCCTTGGTAACAGAGGGTGTCATCTTGAGCATCAGACATTCATGGCCAGAGGGGGGGAGGGGAGGGGAGGACGTGGGCGTTCACAACCAAGGAAGGAGCAAAGCGCAAGTGGTCATTTCATGCTGACAGGGGTGTCCTTCCTGCCCTCGCTCATCTGGAGTGCCCAGGAATTGAGAGTGGTGACTGGGGGAGTATAGCTTGGCCTCTTGGATCTTGGATTCCAGCTAACCTGCTCTCTGCAGAGGCCTTAGGCCCAGAGGTGCCCAGCACCCTGACCGACCCATCTCCCCCTCTCTAGAGTTCCACGGGCTGGATGAGGCGACCCTGCTGCGTGCCCTGCAGGCCCTCCAGCAGGAGCACAAGGCCGAGATCATCACCACCGGCAGCGATGGCCGAGGAGTCAAATTCTTCTAGCAGAGACCCGCCCCCTTCTGCTTCTGACCTCCCACCCTTCCAGGGCTTTCAAAAGGAGACAGATCCAGTCTCCCCACACACTGGGTCTGTGACTCCTCCGGACTCCACAGGGTTCCAGTCCTGAAGGCTGGGACCCAGGACCAGGGCTTTTCCATTTCTGTCCCTGAGGTAGGGTGAGGCTGAGGCACCAGGAGAAAAGATGTGCTGCTTCTTCCCTCCTCTGCTCTCCCACCCTGGACTGTCCCTGCGGCAGGGTCTATAAACCTCACTCCACACGTGCTCACACACATACACACACGCACTCAGGCCTGCGCAGGCCGCTGCTGTCTCCTCCCCCTTCCACTCCCTCAGTGTGGCCGACTGCCTCTCAGGCTGGTGCTGGGTCCTTCCGAGGGGGTGGGAAGAAGCCCTGACTGCAGGCCGCCTTCTAGGCACTGTCAAGATAGGCCCACAAAGGGGCCTAGCAGCGAGAGGCAGGCTGGACACTGATCTATGACATTAAAAATCTCAGCTCTTACTGTCTGCCTTCAGGTTCCTATACCACATTAGGGGCTGGCACGGGCGTGAACCTCTAGCCAGGGAGCGAGGGAAGGTCTACAGGCCCGAGTAAATGTACCGGCCCAGCAGGGCCTTGGGGCTGGGCGAGCCAGTGGTGTACATCTGTGGGGTGGGCCGCTTTGTGTGGGAGTGCTGATGGAGCACAGCTTTCCTTCAGACTGCTCTCTGCTGGCCTTGGGGTCACTGACTCCCCCTTCCCTCCCCATCTCCCCCTGGAACTTCTCCGAAGCCCCTCCCTGCACCCATCTGGCCTGGGTGCGGTAGTTGTGGTCAAGGAGCTGAGAGGGGGTGAAAGCGGATGTGGACTTTGGTTTATTGGAGACTTTGGCAAACAGGGTGAGGAAGGAGAGCCCACAGAGCAAAAACTGCCAATTTGACCAGTGCCGGGCTGCAGCCACAGCAGGGCAGGGGTTGGGAAGGATGGGCGCCCAGGGCTCTGGGTTTAAGGGACGGCATGTCCAGAGACACGCCTTCCCTGTGTAACGTGGGAGAGGGGACTGTGGTGCCCGAGAAGACCAGACCTCTGTCCCCCATATGGTCAGCTCAGCTCGGGCTTCAGGGACCATTCGGAAGGGGGTGGCGTTAACCTTATCTGGGGTGCGCAGGCTAGTGGTGGCCTCCCCCTAAGTGCCCCTCCCCCCAGAGCCGGAGACTCACGGTCACGGTTTCCTCCCCTGTCCTAAGCGTCCGTCCCGCCTCCCAACGCGCAAACAGGTTTGTGCACTCCCTGCTCCTTCTCAGAGCGGCC